TTTCTGTGAACGTGCTGTTGTGCATTGAGGAATGTGGTATGGAAGCCCATTTCCTCCCGGTAAGAAAAAAAAAATCATGCCTTAAAAAGTCGAAATTATGATTTACTAAATCGAAATTATGACTAAAAAGTCAAAATTATGACTTAAAAAAATCGAAATTATGAGATAGAATGTCTAAATTATGACTTGCTGGCTCACTGATCTACACGACACGACACACGGTTATGGAAGAAGGTGGTTTAAAGCAACAATAACTTCCAAATTTTGTTCCATGAATTATGAGAACTTAAAAATATAGCTGATTAACACGAGAAAAGCTGGCAAGACTTTATCTAAAAACATTATTTAATTTAATCTGCACTGATCGGTAGAATATGATTTAGAGTAATTATATCGGTCATATGTGTCTCCTTGAAGGCGTCGAGACAAACATTTCCTAAAGGTAAATCTACAGAGTCTGAAACTGCTGCTTATGTTCATGTCTCAGCTAAAAACAAACAAACGCATCACTGAACCATGACACTAATCATAAACGATTTACCCCAATTAACTACTCACACAAATCTAGTGAAATGAAGAAAAGGTTCCAATGAGTAAAAGTATTATATGTCAAGAAGCAGCTGAGTACGTGTAAATATAGCGACGCCACTGTGATATATTTCAAAATAAAAGCCAAATGTTTGCCATGGTTTCAGCTATCTATCTATCTATCTATCTATCTGTCTACTTTATTTATTTATTTATTTTTGATGATAGTTGTGTGCTGATAATGTATTTAAAATAAGTGGGCTTATTCAGTTTTTAATAAATAAATAAATAAATACAGTAGTATGGAATTTCTCAACTGTTCATGCAAATGGATTAAAACTCATTCGAAATATAATTATTATATTGAAAAACACCAGAAAAACAGTGTTTGTACTGTAAATACATCTAAATGCCACTTCAGATGCCTCTGCAGTGCAAAGATGTTTGTGTCACAACAAGGTCGTAGGCAAATGCACAAAGACGATGAGAAAGGTTAATAAGGCTTTAATTTAAGACTTAAACGTATGCTCTTACACAAACAATAAGAGGTGTAAACAGAAACAGAGAAACAAATAAGAGGTAAAAACAGAGAAATTTAAATACAGGGCAAACAAGAGAAGGGAAACACATGAGTGGCAGGAACTAAAACAAGGAAACACGTGACTGGGGGAAAACAAATTAAATGTC